ATCACTCTTTATCCCCCTCCTCATTCTTACCTTCTTTCTTTCAGGAGAACAGGGTTCAGAAGTCAAAAATCTTTATAGACGCCGCTTTTAAATTAAGCAGAAAATAGACATTGACATATTTGTTAATCTCCCCTAAATCATTACCGGGGCTGGCTGCTTTGCTGAACAAGGCGAGAGGGCTCTCGGCGTGCTGCACAAGGGTCTGTCTGGCTCGGAGCGGCGTTTTAGTTTTAGAAAATAAATTTTAGAAGACTTTTTATCTCCCCCTTAAAACAAAGCACACACATCCTCGGCTTTCTCATGTGCATTTAAAATACATGCATTCTCTACCTCTGTCTTTCCTTTGCTTTGATGCTTTTTTGAGATAGGTCCCGAACTGTGATCAGAGGCATTGCTGAAGGGCCAAGCAAGGCAGCCTTTGGGGAATGCGCTCTGATTTTCCTAGTCTCCGGGGGCGGAACGTTACAGGTATTTATTTTGGCTTTCTTTCTTCCTTCCTTTAAAATATATTTTTATTGATTTCAGAGAGGAAGGGAGAGAGAGAGAGAGATAGAAACATCAACGAGAGAGAATCATTGATCGGCTGCCTCCTGCATGCCCCCTCCTGGGGATCGAGCCTGCAACCCAGGCATGTGCCCTGATGCTCTATCCACTGACCCAAACGAGCTAGGGCTATTTTGGTATTATTTCAAAGCTCTAGAACAGCTTGATTGGGTGGACACGAACTTTGTTAGTCCAGGAGCCAGCCTTCTCTGTCCCTCTACCTTGGTAAAGCCAAGGCCTTGTTTTCAGAATGCTCTGCTCCCAAGCTCATAAGTGAGCCCCCTCTGCGCCCAGTGCTGAGCTGGGCTCTTGACCGCTCTCTAACCCAGTGAACCAAGCTCTCCAGCCGATTCCCCTCAGTGGCAGTCACTGCCAGGACACCTGCTTGATGGCCTTCAGTTCCATTTAATGTGGAGGAACCCAAGCCTCAGGGACACCAGCCCCAAGGTACATCCTGACTTTGTGGCTAAAGAGCTGGATGCCACTGGGCAAGTCACTTTTCAGAACCTTGGTTTTCTCATTTGTAAAGTGGACACCCTTTTTATAAGGTTGGGGTTTTATAAGGATTAGAAATGATGGATGTGAAGCAACGTGGAAAATGCTCTGTAATATTTAGGTATTCAGCCTGGCAGTGGTGGTAACAGCTGACCAGACATAAGTCTGCATTGTGCGGGTGACTTATGAGCTATGTGCTCCTGAAAGCATTGAGTGCAGTGCCTGGCACATAGTCAGTGCTCAGTAAATGGTATGTGTTATATATGGTGCACATATACATAGATGTGCATATCAGTGCAATGTTGGTTGGTTACCCAGGAGGATGCTGTAGGTCTGAAACTTTCTATTCAGTCGTACCCATGATCCTGCCACCCCTCTCCCACCCCCAGCAGAGCTAGTGTGTTAGTTCTGCTTTTCACAATTACAGGAGGAGCTACCCTTAAATCTGCAGCCTGACTTATAGAACAGGGCTTACTGGAGACATCGTCTTGGTCTCAGTTGTGGAATGGAACTAAGATGGAACTTTAGCAACACCAGCCAGGAGTCTGCTGTCAGCATTTAGCCTTTTCTGAAATCAAAGGGACCCTGCCACTGAAGCACATGTCTCCTCTGCCCCAAGTAAGCTGCAGAGACAGCATCGCATAGTGTCCAAAAGCTACGGGAGCCTTGCTGCCCAGAGCCCTGGTTGTGCCCTTTCCTGGCTGTGTGGCCTTGGTAAGGTCCATCAGTTCTCAGCACCTCAGTTTCCTCACCTGTACGGTGAGGACAAGAATGCCAACCTCCTGAGGCTGCTGTCAGGATGGTATAAGGCAGTGGTTCTCAACCTTCCTAATGCCGCGACCCTTTAATACAGTTCCTTATGTTGTGGTGACCCCCAACCATAAAATTATTTTCGTTGCTACTTCATAACTGTAATTTTGCTACTGTTATGAATCGTAATGTAAATATCTGATATGCAGGATGTATTTTCATTGTTACAAATTGAACATAATTAAAGCATAGTGATTAATCACAAAACAATATGTAATTATATATATGTGTTTTCTGATGGTCTTAGGCGACCCCTGTGAAAGGGTCGTTCGACCCCCAAAGGGATCGCGACCCGCAGGATGAGAACCGCTGATATAAGGTAATAAATATAAAGCACTTAGAATAGTGCCTAGTACCCTGTAACTATTAGCTTTGATTATTGATTGTATGCATTGGGGGGCCAGGAACAACATTTTTTTTAATTGGGCTTTTTTTTTTTTTTTTACACTTTCCATTTGATATAATTTTACAGAAGAGTTAGTTATAAAGTAGTACACAGGACTTCTGATGCCTTGTTCTCAGATTCACCTATTCACATCTTGTCCAATTTGCTTCATTTATTTCTGCATGCTCATAGGTATGTGCTCACTCACTCTCCACACATACACACACACACTCTTTGAGCCATTGGAGAATGATCTGTAGACATCACGCTCCTTTATCTGTAAATCTTTAGTGTGTCTTTCTAAAAACACAGACTTTCCCTCACATAACCACGACATATTTAGCAAAATCAGGAACTATAACAATGGCACAACACCACTATCTAACCGATGATTCCTATTCAAGTTTTGCCAATTTGTTGTCAAGTATTTTTAGTCTACTTTAATCTGGAATAATTCTTTGGCCTTTCCTTGATCTGGACTCTTTTTGAAAAATACAGGCCACGTTTCTGTAGCCTGTTCCTCAGTTTGGGCTGGTCTCATATTTCCCCATGGTGAGAGACAGACTGCGTTTTGGGCAGGAATATTGCGAAGTGGTTTTATGTCCTTCTCCAGCCACGTCTTGGGAGGCTGTTCTTGCCCATGGTAACTTTGATCACGTTTAAGGTTCTGTTCCCTGGGCTAAACCCACTGTAAAATTCTCCCCTTTGTAATTTGTAAGGAGATACTTGAGACTGTAAATGTCCTGTTCCTCATCCAACTTTCACCTGCTGGTTTTCATATCCATTGATCTTTCTTGGCAAAGTCAGTTACTGTGGTGGTTGTAAAATGGCGACCTAACCCCATCACTCCTCTGTGTCTGTTCGTTGTTAGTCTGCTGGAAGGGAGAGCTTTCCCTTCGCTCCCATTTGACCATTTCCATCAGGATGGACTCGGGCTCTTATTTGATTCCATAAATGATCTGTCTGATAATAAACACTTTATCTTTTTTAATAAATTTGCTACTCGAATTGTCCCTGATTTGGCCAATGGGAGCACCCTCATGTCCTTTTAACATGTCCCAGTCATTTTATCAGTGCTTCCTGTTCTTTGTGACAATGTGTTCCAGGCTCATCTTATATTTTCCCTGCCCCAAGGAGTCGTGGTTCCTTTACTGGAGGAGGAAAAATGGTGTGTTCCAGGCTCATCTTATATTTTCCCTGCCCCATCCCTGGAATCAGCTGTTTCTGCAAGGAGTCGTGGTTCCTTTACTGGAGGAGGAAAAATGTTTGCTTCCCTGTCAGGGTGTAATAACTGAGGCAGTCTCCTCGCAGAAACTTGTAGCCGGCCTCTATCCATCCGTTCTCCAGGCAGATCCAGTTAGAATGAATGGGCCTTCATCTCATCCCACTGCATGGGGCCCAGCGCCATCAAGCTGTGTCCCTGGTTTGGAAAGAAGGCTGCTGAGGTGTCAGGGACCAGCGTGACTAGTCTGTGATTGTCCTCTGTGTGGGAGCCCAAGAAGAGATGGCCTCCAGCTCTGTGCTTTACCGTTTTAAAGTAGTGATGGTGTGTGGGTTTTTTTAAGTAGAGTTGGGCATCCAAAAACCTCATAAAAAAATGGAACTAGGTACTATAGTTACATCCCTGTTCTATTAACATGTGTTTGTATATAATACTTACGGCTCACTCAGCAGCCCAAGGCTGTTTATGGCATATGATTCATAGTGGCATAAACAGCCAGGTCTGTTCCCTGACAGACATGCTTGAAAAAGACCTTTTTCTTCTGCGTCCCGTCACCTGTGGCCATGTATTTACTTGTCAGCTTTAGGGACAAAGCCCTTCGGGTTGTCCTCAACACCAGGGACGATCACCTAGAGCTCCTTCAGCCAGACTTATTCCTTCTTACTAGGCAGGCAACCACATTTCCGTATTGATGGCCAGTTCATTCTGAGAGCAGTTAGGAATAAAAGTACAGCAGCAGCACCCCGACTGGGACACGGTGATGGAGAAGGAATTGCAAACGCTCCTGTCTGTCCAGTTGAGGGTCCGTGTGCTTTAGAAGCTCTGACCAAATAGGCTTAGTGGGCTGCCTTTCTCTTTCCCCTCTTCCTTCTCTTTTAGCCCAGGAACTAGAGTGTCTTTGTCACTGTGGTCAGGGGTTGGCTCTGTCCGTAGCAGCCCAGGCAGGAGCCAGAGGGCTGGCAAACCCACTGAGCTGGCATGAGACACACAGACCCAGCTCTCACCAGGTTGGATTCTATAAATTTCAGGTTAAGAGCATCCAAACCTGAGATGAGAAGCTGTGGAGGAAAGCAGCCTGTGACTTTAAAAGCCATTTGGGTCCTTATTGAGTTGGGTGGGTGCTGGTGTGAGGAGAGAAGAGCTGTGGTTTGTTCCAGAAGCACAAGGGGTGCTGTCCCATGTTCTGTGTTCTGAGAGTCCAGCAGGTCACAGGGCATGGGGTCCTTCGCCAGGAAAGGGGGGACCTGGCTGTCAGTCGGTGAGAGGATGAGACCCTCCGGCTTCCGGGTGGTGGTTTGCCCCTGCTCGGGGGAGGCTGGGGACAGGGACTCTCGCGGCTGCTTCCACAGTTGTGACCTCCACAGGGAAAGGAGGACGTGTGTGCTCCCCGTGGCGTCTCCGGGAGCCCTGCTATACCCAGGTGGCGAAGACAACGGGGAGCGGGTCACAGAGGGAGGGGCGGTTTTGAGCTTCCCATGACTGGCTGCTCCTGGACAGAGGTTCCGGTCACCTCAGCGTGTGACGGGCAGGTTACTTTAATTGCAGGCACCCCTGAGCTCAGTGCAGCTGAGCGGAAGGAGCTGGAGAACAAGCTGAAGGAGCGGGAGGAATTCCTGGTTCCCATTTACCACCAGGTAGCCGTGCAGTTTGCTGACTTGCATGACACACCGGGCCGGATGCAGGAGAAGGGTGTTATTAACGTAAGTACAGTGGTTGCCGCTTCTGACTTGTCAGATCTGAAGGCTCACAAGCAGGAGCCGTTGGGGGCAGATTAAAACAGTGTGTGCGGGTCAAACCATTTTCCATTTTTTGGAGAGACTTCTCCCTTTTCCTATATCCACTCTCATCCTAAAACAATTCATGATTTAGGTTGCCTCCTGGATTGCTCAGGAGGCAAGCTCCATTCTACTGGTGGGAAACTGAGTCACGCGGGAGAGCTGCCCGGGTGGTGCTCAGGCTGCAAATGACTACAGTGTCAGGGTTCCGGCAGCAGCTAACAGACCTGATTTGTGTGCAAGTTGTTGGAGCCATCTGCTCAAACCCAGTTCCTCACTCTGGGTATCTGGGAATTCAGAGCCCCTTCCCCGAAACATCGCAGCCAAGAGTGGGGTTACGCGTTAGCCAGGCCCATGGCTGTGCACGGTGCTGTGGTCAGCAGAGTGGTGGGTGCAGGGGACTACATCCTGAACTGGGACACATCTGCGGAGCAGGGGGCTCACAGCCGGCTCTCAAGTCTCTGAGCGGCCTGCTGGCGAGTGGGTTTTTGTGCCTGGAGTTCCCTCTGGACTGGGGTGACTGGGGTTATTGTCTGTTACAGGACATCCTGGATTGGAAAACATCCCGCACCTTCTTCTACTGGCGGCTGAGGCGCCTCCTGCTGGAGGACCTGGTCAAGAAGAAAATCCACAATGCCAACCCTGAGCTGACTGACGGCCAGGTCCAGGCCATGTTGAGGCGCTGGTTTGTGGAAGTGGAAGGAACAGTGAAGGTAGGTGGGCGCCCTCGGAGTAGCCTCATGCTATGCTCCCACCTCACCTGAGGATGCAGGGCTTGTCACCTCAGAACCCAGGCCTCTAAGGGCAGGAGAAGTCGTAGGGCATTTTTTGCAGCACACTCTATATCACTCAGCAAACCTTTCTGAATATGTACTAAATACCAGATGCTGCATTAGGCCTTGGGGACATGGCAGTTAAAGAGGCAGATGTTCCTCTCCACCTATGGGAGAGACAGGGGAGTCAGGAGGCCACATACCACAGTGAGACTGAGGTTAAATGTAGCAAACCCAGCACCGCACGGAGCACGACACCAGTCCGCTCTGTGGGGAGCAGGAGGGGGGTCTGGGGAGCCTTCTAGAAGGGATGTAGCAGAGACCTGAGAACAATGTAGAGAGGAACCAGAGGAAAAGGTTGGATTTGGGGATGCAGGAGGAACGTTCCAGGCAGAAACAAGAGTGTCATGCATTGCAGGTATTTCAGGGTGGCTCAGAGATTGGGATCATGTGGGGCCGTGTTGAGGGGTTTGAACTTGGCCCTGGGGGAAGCACTGAGATATTTTAAGCAGCAGAGACATCGTCTGACTTGGTCGTAGGAAGACTGCTCAGGCTGTGTGGAGGGTGGAATTGAAGAAAGCAGGAGCAAGACGCCGAAGAGGTGATGGTGATTGAGGTGGTTGGTGCTGTGGCCACTAGAGATCTGATTTCGAAGTGTGAGCTATGAGTCCGGGGTGTTCTTGGGGTGACTTCACAGAGGGCATGTGCCTTGGAGCAGTGACTGCTGAGATGGGGTGCGTCTGCCCCTGGAATCCCGGGCTGCACAGAGAGCCACGGGAAGACATGAAGGAAAAGTTAGACCTTTTATTTCTAAGTACAAGAATTTAACCTTTATTAGTATATGGATTAAAAGTAAGTCACATACATCATGTAAACATTTTGTCAGAATATTGGTAGTAGGTGCTGAAAATACCTTTTGCTGAGAGCTAAGCGATCAGAAGCCTGTGTGACTGCTGGGTGGGAGTCCTGGGGGCAGCGGCCTCTGTTGCATGTTCTCAGGAAGGGGCTCCTAGGTTTGCGTCGGTGTAATAGGCACTGAATCAGGGTCCTTCTAAGATCCACCTTTGTGTTACGTCTACCCATGTTTTTACGACTGAAAAGCTTCTCTGGATAAATATTTCAGATGTGCAGCAGGGGAGTGCAGCCTCATGTGACATTTGGTTCAGGTTAAGGTCAGTCTGTGGCATCATAATTGAGTGAGACAATTTTGTCAGTGGCTACTGGCAGCTTCTAGTGGAAGTTGGCATTGAAAGTCATGCAAGTGTAAAATAAGAGGTTGTTCTCCAGTTAAGAGTGGCTGGCTAGGTAAATGGAGTGTGTGCGTGTGGCCAGGAGAGGCCCGTCCCGCCTTCCTACCACATTAGTCACTAATGGACGTGTGCGGCCTCAGTAGGCACAGGGATGAGGGGAAGGAATAGCTTTCCTCCGAGCGTGAAGTGAGTGGAGAGGTCCTCCATTGCTCCTTAGCGTCCTGCTCCCAGGGGACTGCGTCTGGAGAAAGAGGTCATTTCCACTTCTTATGATGGAGAGAACATTGACTGTGTGGACAGACTCCTGGCTGGAGGAGGCCGCTTCCCTGGCCCCGTTTACAAACAGCATCCTCCTGCACCTCAGCCCAGGACAGCCAAGGAGAGAGAGGAAGGCCGGTGATCCTGCGAGGTGGCTTTGAAACCTCCTTCTATATTCTGCAGGCTCAGCAGGACCTAGTTGAGTGTGGGGTGGATGATAAAATCTGCAGCGCCCTTGAGAGAAGAAAGTGTAGCAACGTTCAAAGGCCGTGTGCTGCCTCTGAAGGGCTGACATGCAATCCGCTCAGTGTTTGGGAATGGCTTAACACCGTCACTTTTTGTTGGTCCCTCACACAGTCCTAGATCCTGTGTGCTGTGGCTCTCAAGTGCAGCCTGGCTGAGTCTAGACCCCAGCTTTGCACCAAGAAGTGACTCTAATCCTTGTGGTTACTGGTCGGGAAAGACATTTAGTGGTAGGCCTCTATTAGCCATGCTGTGTTCTTTTTTCCTAGATAATTTGCTTTTTTAATCTTAATCCTAAAAAAGGAGATTTTGGGACTAAAAATTTGAAGACACTGTGATACTACCTAACTGGATGCTGTAATTCTTTTGTTTCCCCCAGAGCAGCGATTTTCAACCTTTTTCATCTCATGACACACCCCCAAAAAATACTAATTACCTACCTCTTTTTGCTCCAAAGTGACTTCTTAAAAATCAGGTGCCTGTAACTTGTATGTAAGGATTTCTGGTACCAAGAATTGACCAGTAAGGTGCAACTCTATTATATGGCCTATATATTTATGGTTCAGGGCAGGGCATTCACACAGGATGGCTGTTATTTTTTTTTTTTACAATCTAAGGGAAAAGAGGTCAGTGCCCCTGACTAAATAGTCAGGTACTGCATGTTTTAAAAATTCTTGTGGCTCACCAGTTGAAAATCACTGCCTTAGAGGAATCCGCTACCGTGAGTTACGGGATTCTGTCTGAGTCCCTGGGACAGTCCCGTCATAGGAAATAGGGTATGGTTCATAGTTTTCCTGCAGCAGAAGGGAAGCATCACTGCAGCTCCCTGAAAGGTAGGTTTCAATCAAACAGGGCACACGTTTGTTTCATGGGCACGCTTTCTCTCTTAATTTTAGATCCACAGTTTGAGGGTTTTCAAACCGACTGATC